TTAACCCCTTCTCCCAGAATAAAAGCAGCGGTTTAAGCTTTCTTGGGGGAAAATAGAGAAGACTATAAAATTAATTTGGACACAGCAGAGAGACTTAATGTTGGAAAAAGTTTCGGAAGTTATAATACTTTATAATAATACTTTTAGACAACTGCTCTGGAAGTGAGCCTCACAAACAGAAGTGGATTACAAATCTTTTTTTTTTTTTTTGCTCTCCCTTTTCTTTCAGGGAGTTTATTGGATTACAGAGACTATAGACAAGAACTATAAGAGTTATTTAAGACAAACTTAAATATATGTTAATGGCAGACCAGGTTGCAACTAATTTGTGCTATATGAGACATAATACCTTTTGTAATGCAAATAAGCTTGGGAGGTAGTTGGCTTATCAATTATGTAAGAAACAGAAGGCAAGAATTATAGAGAAAGTAAAATACAAAGGTAGTGAGGTTTATCAACAGAATTTGATTTAAAAGAGTTTTTTAGATTTTTATACAAAATTATATGCTAGCGACAATATACATGCTTTAGATGTAGAGAAGTATTTACAATCAGTACATTTTCCTAAACTTTCTAATGAACAACAAGATGTGATGAATTGTTTAATTACTTCAGAGGAAATTGGTTTAGCTATTAAGCAGTTAAAAGTGGGAAAGGCCCCAGGTACAGATGGATTAACGGCAAAGTATTATAAAATGTTATCTGAAGAGATGATAGAGCCATTAAAAGAACTTTTTAATAGTATTTTGCTGGGAGCTCCGGTTCCCCCTTCCTGGAGAAGGGCTTTTATATCATTGATCCCGAAGGAGGATCAAGATCTTACTGAACCTAAGAATTATAGACCTATATCTCTTTTAAATACAGATTATAAGATTTTTTCTAAAATCTTGGCAAATAGATTAATGCAGGTTGTGAAGGATTTAATTCATAGTGATCAGTCTGGATTTATAACAGGAAGATATATGAAATACAATATAAGACAAATCATTAACTTAATTGAGTACTTGGACAAGAATAATCAGATCCCTGTGGCTTTTATATTTCTGGATGCTGAGAAAGCTTTTGATCAGTTAGATTGGCAATTTTTATTTTTACTTATAGAGAAAATGAATTTTGGAGATAAGTTTTATATGCTCTCAAGGCTATATATCAACAACAGTCTGCTCAAATTATTATTAATGGGGGATTGTCAGAGACTTTTAATATTGAAAAGGGTACAAGACAAGGATGTCCATTATCCCCATTGTTATTTATTTTAACAATGGAGATTTTGTTAATTCAGATTCGAGAATCAACTGTACTTAAGGGAATAAAAATAAACAAGAATGAGTATAGATTGAGAGCTTTTGTGGATGATTTGGTTTTAACTTTATTACAACCGACTCAATCGGTTAGTCATTTGTTGGAACTAATAACTCAATATGGGAAAGTCTCTGGTTTTAAAGTAAATAATAATAAGACTAAAATATTATCTAAGAATATGACTGAGAGGGAAAATGAAATTTTAGTTAAACTTACAGGTTTTCAGATAGTGAAAAATGTTAAATATTTGGGAGTATATATAACTGCTTCTAATGGAAAATTATATAAGAATAATTATGAATTATTATGGACAAAAGTACAAAAGGATTTAAATGATTGGAAAAAATTACAACTGTCATTGTTGGGGAGAATTTCAGCTGTAAAAATGAATGTTCTACCAAAGTTTCTTTTTTTGTTTCAGATGATACCCATTTTAAAAAAAGATGCTAATTTGGATGAGTGGCAGAAGGGTATCAATAAATTTATATGGGCTGGGAAGAAACCAAGGATGAAGTTTAAGATTTTGTAAGATGCTCAAGAAAGAGGAGGGCTTAAGGCACATAATTTGAAATTATATTATGATGCAGCCACACTAACTTTGATAAGTGATTGGCTTAATCTAACAAACAAAAATATTCTTTCTCTTGAAGGGTGGGATTTATTATATGGTTGGCATGCATATTTAATTTTCAATAAGAAAGTAGATCGAGCTTTTAAATTGCATATTTTAAGAAATGCCTTACTTCGAGTTTGGAAGAAGTATTATTACAGGTTAAATTACAAAATACCTATTTGGGGGATACCTGGACATGCAATTGAGGGGATTTCTAAGGGGATGAATTTTGAAAAAATTCCGTATAAAGAATTACTTATTTGGTCAGGTACTGACTGGCAATTAAAATCTTTAGATGTATTAAGGCAAGAAAATATTTTATAGTCATGGTTCCAGTATTTACAAATAGTGGATAGATGGACTTTAGATAAGAAAGTAGGAATAACATTAGGAGATGAAAATTTGGTAATTCAGATTAAAGATCAGAATCAGGCTCACATAAAAAGAATTTATAATGCGTTAATAGAATTGGATTTGGAAACGGAATTGGTTAAAGATTGTATGGTTAAATGGGCTCAGAATATCCAGGAACCGATTCCATTGGATTTATGGGAGATAATTTGGATCAGAAATGTTAACTTTACACAGGCTCAAAATTTAAGGGAAAATTTTTACAAAATGTTTTATAGGTGGCATTTGGATCCTAAAAAGTTGTCTTGTATGTATCCTAATTTACAGCCTAAATGTTGGGATGCAGTAGTTCTGACGCAACTTATTTTCATGTTTGGTGGACTTGTAAAAATATTAAGGCTTTTTGGATTATGATTTGGTGGAACATTCAAAAGATTTTTAAAAAGAAGATAAAGTTTACTCCTCAACTATTTTTACTAGGGATTTTTGAGGATTTTGATGTTAAAGAAACCATTTTAATGTTGAATTTAGTAACAGCAGCAAGGCTATTGGTAGGTCAATATTGGAAGAAAGATTCGTTGCCTACTATAGAAGAATGGACACTTAAGGTTTCAAATTTAGCAGAAATGGCTAAAATTTCTGCTTATTTAAAGGATCATACACAAGAAAAATATATTATGGTACGGAGAAGATGGATAGATTATATTCAGATTAAATATGGAACTAAAAAGTTCCATTTATTTTATGATTAAATTTTAAATAATAATTATTATTAATAGCATTTTATAATGGAAATTATTTAGTTTATTTACTGTTATTATGGTTCTTTATAATAATTGTTTTAAAATGGATTTGTTTATAATATTATGATATTAAGGTTTAAAGAGAGTTAAGGGTTAAGTATGAATTTATTTATTGTATAATTTGTTAAATTTTATTAGATTTTGTTTAATATGTTTGTAATAACCCTGTACTCGGCTCTGGGAAGTAGGGGGGTAGGGGGTGGGGGTGGGTGGGTTTGTGGGTTTAAAATTTTTTTGTTAATTGTCAATAAAACTTTTTCAATAAAAAGACAAACTTAAATGATATATTGTGGTACTGAATATAAGATTAATGATTTTGTATAAGGCGGGCATTTGGGAAAAGTATTAGAGCTGATAAAAGATTTGTGGGGTGGAAACAAAAATGAGTGTTTCAAATTTAGCTAAAACTGGCAAAAAAAACATCCTCAGCCTCATCCTCCACCTCTGCAAGCCCTGTGTATCAGAGATCAACCGAATCAATGCTTCAACAAGAAAAATCTAACAACTTTCAGAAGGAGATGCAAGCGGCATTACAAGCAATCCAAGAGGCAATCTCCTCCCACAAAGAAGATACAAAGAAAAATCATGAGGAGACAAAAGACAATTTTGATAAAACGAATCAAAAAATTCATAACATAAACTCTCAACTAGAAAGCTTCTAACAGATGGTTACAAAGAATGAACAAAGAATTCAGAAAATAGAAGACAAGTCAGTAGAAATTGATCAGAAAATGGAAGAAATAAAAGATGAAAATCAGAGGCTGGTGCAGGCAAATAGAGAATTGGAAGATTTAATGGCAGTTTTGGAAATGGAAAAGGGATCTTATTTTTTAAGATTTCAAAACATAATGGAGAATAAGGAAGAGGATCTCGCAGACTTGATGATAGAGCTAAAATAAACAAGTTTATTTTACTTTACAAGAGGATAAGGCAGCTACTGTAACCAAGATTTAGAACTAAGAATGTAAGTTAGACATAATACAAAATAATGACACCACATTTATAATCTGTTAAATCAGACTTCTCATTCAATTAGAACTATTTGCTCTTCACTAGAATTATTTAGCCCAATTTTTCATGCAACATATTTTCTGGCACAGGGATAAGCCAAATTCTTCATATCTCAACAACCTTTCATTTTACAAATACACTCTTACCCTGCTGATCTTTGGCTATCATGACCCTAGTACAGTAAATGCTGCAAGGAATTTCATCCTTCAGTCAGATACCAATTTTTGCATTCCATCACTGGTCAGGTGGAGGTTGGCTTATGAAAAATACTAAGCATTGTGAGGAGGCAAAAATGGTGAAGGAAATAAACCTAAGACAAGGGTGATATGCAAATATGCACATTTTGAACATTATTTTTGGAAAAGGTGTCTTCATTATACATAGAAAAGAATGTAAAACTTAAGAAATGTTTACTTCTCATTCTAATTCAAAGGAATTAGCACTGATGAATGATTAATGAAAAGACTCCAGACGATGAGGGATTTTATCAAACAAATTTTTAAAATACTATTGGTAGATATTTTCAGACAATTTATACAGCAAGAATTAAAAAAATAACTATTAAGAATAAAACTTCGATATATGTGTTTGTATATATACTTGGTTAATTTTTAAGCCATATAAAATATTTAACTATGAGTGTTAGAGAAATTAAATGTATTACTTAATTTCTTATATAAAATAGGTAGTTCTTGTTTGTGACTTCTTTGTTCAATGACTGTTTGAATTTATGACAATGATGCAAAACTTTTCAACCAATCCTTGCATTTACTATTTCTGCAAATCTGTAAAGCAAAGAAAAGACAGTTGCAGTTTCACTTGCCTGTTCCAGTTGTGATCAATAAATGAGGACAACCTGTATTGGTCTGGATTTTAGCTTTCATAGCACTTATAGTGTTAAACTTCAGTCTTTCATTTACCTGGTATGTTGTTTTCTTCAATGCTGTCCTCAACAGACAGAGTGGAGCAGTTGGCTGGACTAACTGGAGAGCTGGAATTAAAGCTTGTGTATCTTACAGAGGAGTTGATTTCAAAATAGTCATGGCTCTCATTTAATCGGTGAAATTCAAAAGCTGATACTATTGATGTACGTTGCTTGGGCTGGAAAAATAAATTAATTAAAATGTAGACACTACTTTATTCTTTTCTACATCTACAGCTCACTGTCTCTATTCAGTTTTAAAAACAGATGCTAAAAAATGTTACCAACTTCTCTAAATGTACCCAGAATAAGAAATGTATTATAATCAGGAATACAAAATCAAAGCAGCATTATACATTGTTCTATAAAAAAACAACCTGAATGCCAATTAAAAAATATCAAACTCTTGGGAGGTATCAAAATATTTATTTATAAAATAACTATTCCATTCTCTATCACAAAAGTTGCACTGAAAACTATATACAGTAATGAAAAGAAAGGTTAATATTAGCAGTTTCAAAATTGTTCTAAACTTTAAAAGACAACATGGGAAAATAAATATAAGAAAATCCCTGATGGATCAGGGATCAGCCAACAACCTAAATAAATCAGCATTATCCAGTTTCTTCTTGGATAGTGAATATTTAACACATTCAACTTACAATTCAAATTGTAGCATATAACCATCAAAACTATAAAACACTGTTTTTTTCCATAACTTAAAGCAATCTTATTTTTAAAACAATGAATTGATAGTTATAACCACATTTGCAGTGGAAGTACCGTATATTCCGGCGTATAAGGTGACCCGGCGTATAAGACAAATCCTGACTTCGGCACCAAGTCGCATGCCTAGAAAGTCGTCTTATATGCCGGAAACTACCATTATTTCTGGCATATAAGACGACTCGGTGTATAAGACGCCCTCCAACTTCGGCGCCGATTTCTACGCCTTAGAAAGTTGTCTTATACGTCGGAATAAACGGTACTAATAATGAAGCTAATGCTTAAATAATTTGGACACACAAAGTTAAAAAGAAAGTAAGGAAGATACATGTCCCTGGAAAAATGGAAAACAATTAAAAAAGAGACTAACAGAAGGTTACTACTAGTATTATGACTGATGACATAAAATGAACTCACAACAACCCAAAACAACCACAGTTATAAAAACTTTACAATTTGGATGAAATGATTGGATCATAATGAATCAAAAGCAACCAAACAACAACAGAACCACATCAATGGCAACAAATTCCACAGTTTGACAATTAATGTAAGTTTCTTTTCAATTGTTTATTCTGAAGAAGCCTAGAATAATACATTAAAAGGAACAATTAAAAAGGAATAATTTGATTAAAAAATCAACCACAAAATATCTATCATAAAGGAAGATAATACAAAAATTAAAACAGGGTTTGTTTATACAGTATATATATAGAAGCAAGAAGCCGAAAACACCAGCCTAAAGATGACGAATGGGACTTTGTTGAAATGTTGCCAAGACACTTCCAATTTGACGCGGGAGAAAAACCCAAATAACCAAAGACCTACATAAAAAATACCCACAAAAACCTCAGAAAACTATATATATATAGTTTTATATAAAACTATTATATATATATATAATGCCCAGGATTCGCATTTTTAGTATTTGTATATAGATAGATAGATAGATAGATAGATAGATAGATAGATAGATAGATAGATAGATAGATAGATATAGATATATATAGATATATATATAGATAGATATATATATAGAGATAGATAGATAGATAGATAGATAGATAGATAGATATTTGTATTGAAAAATTTCCATAATATTATGGGAGGAAAGAAGGATGAAGGGGTCTGGGAGGAGATGAGTGTCAGCAATGGAGGGGTGGGAGGAGTGATCCGGAGGAACGATAGAAGGAAGTGCAAGGAAAGTAACAAAGAAACATCTGGAACACAAATTGACCGGCCGGGACCAGTGACGCGGTCCAGGAGCCGGGTGCAAATGTCAGCCAAACCCATTTAAGTCATCATTGTTTACTGGCTTCTTAGCCCTGATGATGTTTGGAGTTCCCAAACGAAAGCTTGGCAGCTTTTAGTAAAGTATATTTTTATACCTATATTCTCCTGGTGGTCGCATTTTTATTTATAATATATTTGTGTGTGTATGTGTATATATACATACACATACACATACACACACACACACACACACACACACACACACACACACACACACACATATATATATATATATATATATATATATATATATATATATATATATGTTTTCTGAGGTTTTCGCGGATGTTTGTATGTAGGTCTTTGGTTATTCGGGTTTTCTTCCGCGTCAAATTGGAAGTGTCTTGGCAACGTTTTGATGAAGTCTCATTCATCATCTTCAGGCTGGTGTTTTCAGCTTCGTGCTTCTAGGAGCAATGTGTGATCGTAGCTGTTTCTTCCTTTTAACTGCCAGTGGGGGTATGAACTGATTGGATGAGAGCTTGGCTATGTTCTGATTGGATGGAGGTGTGTTCTGATTGGTTAGGAGCTTGGCTGTGCTTTGATTGGATGGGGGGTTGGCTGTGCTCAGGACTGCAGATCCTTCCACAGAGGAAGGAGTGAGCCGTGGACCGGCCAGGTGCAATCTGTAGCGCAGAAAAGAGCACTTGAGGATTGCACATGCTCTAAAAGTGCACTTGAGGATCATAAAACAACCAGTGGAGTTAAAGACAGTTTGCCTGATGCGGAACAACTCTGCGCGATACAGATTAATACAATCAATGGGCTGATGACGCACTCAAGGAGCCGGGTGCAGAGGCAGGAGGCTATATGAGCTGCCTTCCCGATCTCCTCCTATTCTAACTCTGATGACGCCGGCAGTTTTTGGGCCGGATGAAAGCTTAGTGACTCTTTTTAACCACAGGCTTGTTTATATTAAACAGGCTAGTTTATTATATCCTGGTGTTCATTTTTAAAACTCTGATTGATCCTGAAATTAAAAGATTTCATTGTCATATGCTTAATGTTAGTCATTCTTTGCAATCTTGGAAACTACAAGTGAAATTTTCAGCCCACACTTATTATGAATTCAATTTATTTATTTATTTAGCAGCTTTAGATAGCCACCCATCACACAATTACTCTGGGCAGCAATGGCAATAAAATCATAGCAATAAAAAATCATGAAATACTCAAAGACAAATGAAAAAGAAAATATAAAACCCAAGATGTCAGGAAAATAACAGTCACTTCACATCATAAAGCCACCTTACAGGCTCACCATAGTAATAATAATAATAATAGTAAAGTTGGAAGGGACCTTGGAGGTCATCTAGTCCAACCCCCTGCTCGGGCAGGAAACCCTACACCATTTCGGACAAATGGCTGTCCAGTCTCTTCTTAAAAACTTCCAGTGTTGGAGCATTTACTGCGTCTGGAGGCAAGCTGTTCCACTGATGAATTGTTCTCACTGTCAGGAAGTTTCTCCTTAGTTCTAGGTTGCTTCTCTCCTTGATGAGTTTCCACCCGTTGCTTCTTGTCCTGCCTTCAGGTGCTTTGGAAAATAGCTTAATTCCCTCTTCTTTATGGCAGCCCCTGAGATATTGGAATACTGCTATCATGTCACCCCTTGTCCTTCTCTTCGTTAAACTAGACATACCCAATTCTAGCAACCGTTCCTTATATTTTTTAGCCTCCAGTCCCCTAATCATCTTTGTTGCTCTTCTCTGTACTCTTTCTAGAGTCTCAACATCTTTTTTACATCGTGGTGACCAAAACTGGATGCAGTATTCCAAGTGTGGCCTTACCAAGGCATTAAAGAGTGGTATTAATACTTCACGTGATCTTGAGTCTATCCCTCTGTTAATGCAGCCTAGCACTGTGTTGGCCTTTTTGGCAGCTGCATCACACTGCTGGCTCATATTTAGTGATTGTCTACTAGGACTCCGAGGTCCCTCTCACAGTTACTACTATTGAGCATGGTGCCATCTATGCTGTACTTGTGCATTTGGTTTTTCTTGCCTAAATGTAGAACCTTGCTTTTTTCACCATTGAATTTCATTTTGTTAGTTAGTGCCCAGTGTTCAAGTCTGTCCAGATCCTTCTGTACCTGAAGCCTGTCTTCTGGAGTGTTGGCTATTCCTGCCAGCTTGGTGTCATATGCAAATTTGATGAGTTCCCCATCTATCCCTTCATCCAAATCGTTGATGAAGATGTTGAAGAGTACTGGGCCCAGAACAGAGCCCTGGGGCACCCCACTAAACACTTCCCTCCATATAGATGCAGTTCCATTGAGGACCACTCGCTGAGTACGGCCGGTCAGCCAGCTACGGATCCATCTGGTGGTGGTTCTGTCTACCCCCCATTTTTCTATCTTGTCAAGTAGTAGGTTGTGATCTACTTTATCAAATGCCTTACTGAAGTCCAAGTAAATTATGTCCACAGCATTCCTCTGATCCACTACTTTTGTCACTTGGTCAAAGAATGCAATAAGATTTGTCTGGCATGATCTATTTTTGACAAACCCATGTTGTCTTTTAGTAATGACTTTGTTTGCCTCTAGGTGTTCGTTGATTCGTTGTTTGATTATCTTTTCCAGGATCTTCCCAGGTATTGAGGTCAGGCTGATAGGTCTGTAATTTCCTGGATCCATTTTTTTTCCTTTTTTGAGGATGGGAACTACATCAGCTCTTTTCCAGTCCTCTGGTAGTTTCCCTGTGTTCCAGGATCTTTGAAAAATATAGTTCAGTGGCTCCGATATCACATCTGCCAGTTCCTTGAGAACTCTGGGGTGTAATCCCTCTGGTCCTGGCGATTTGAACTCATCTAGGCTGGACAGGTGCTCCCTAACCATTTTCTTGCCTATCTTAACTTGTGTTTCTGTTTTGTTTTTTATGGCATTATTTTTGATAGGTTGGTCTGTTTTTTCCCTTTGTGTAAAGACAGATGCAAAAAATGAGTTAAATAGTTATGCTTTCTCCCTGTTGCTTGCCACCTTCTTGCCACTTCCACCCACTAGTGGACCAATCATTTCCTTCACTTTTTTCTTGTTTTTTACATGTTGAAAGAAGCTTTTTTGTTATTTTTGACTTTGGTCGCAATCCTTAGTTCATTTTGAGCCTTGGCTTTCTTCACTTCATCTTTGCAGGCTCGGGCTATTTGCTGATATTCTGACTTAGTT